AACATTAAAAAATATCCAAGAAAAACAAAAGGAATACTATAATGTATCTACCAAACCGTTAGGCCAACTTGACCAAAATCAAGAGGTGTATGTTCAAGAGAAAAAGCGTGAATGGAAACCTGGAGTAGTTTTAAACCAATTTATCCCAAATGACTATATAGTTCGTGTAGGCGAAGCTAATTTTCGTCGAAATAGGCAGCAGCTTAGACCTAGAAGATCATCACTATCACCAGAAAAATTAGTGGTGGAAAATAAACAAAAACCTGAAGCTATCACACAGACAAGAACACAGACTATGAATGCATCTTCTGGAGTAAATGAAAACATACCCACAAATTTGGCATAAGAAAGAAATATACATCCAGATACAAAGAATTACTCAAACTGAAACATTTATACTAGGAGCAGTATTGCCGGACCGAGAATTCTCATTACCCTTTCCAATCTCATAAAATACCCAATTTTACCCGGACACTGAAAACAAAATCCCCAAATCATTGAGCTAGGTTAGGGCAGGAGGCACGTTTTTAAAATCATTAATGACATATGCGCATTTTCACCGATGTAATGCTGTCCTTGTCATTTGACAGCAGCAAAACAAGGATAGGTAATTTACTCATCAAGAGAAAGCACAATGTAGCGCAAGTTTTTAAATGCAACAAATTTATGTCAAAAATTACAATTTTGGGTAACCTATCCTTGTTTTGCTGCTATCAAATGACAAGGACAGCAATACATCGTTGAAAATGCGCATGAGACATTGATGATTTTAAAAACTTGCCCATTGATGGTGCTTGAATATTATGTATAAAAAATATTTTACAATAAACAATACACGGATTGAGGCGGGTAACGGCCGTGACGAGTGACGGACCTGACGGTATGTAAACGTCAATGTCTTGACTCTAGTGATTCTCATTTGTCAGTGTGAACTGAATGTATTCGTTTTTTTTTTCTAAAATCATGTAAAATCAATGAACTATAAACTACACGTACCTGGAATGGCCCGCCGATCCATAAATTTGCGGCAAATTGAGATGGAGAATGTGGGGTAAACCTATCTCTATTTATCGAATTATGGAAATCTTTCTTTGTCTAAAAAATAATATATTTGAGGTTAGGAATATACCAAACATAACAGCAATGAACTGGAGAGAGAAAGGGATCCCCTACTATGTAGCTTTTTTGGACGCACTAAGCGAGATGACAAATGCCATACAAATGCCATATGCGACAACAGTCGGTGCCATTCCAGATACGTGTAGTTTATAGTTCCACATCAATATTTTACCCGAACACTAGTTGAAAATACCCGGTTTTTGGGGAATTACCCAGTCAACGGCAACACTGACTAGGAGCGGTAGATGTGTAAAATCACCGACTAAACTGAATTTTTAATTTAAAAAAATAAATAAAATATTTATGTTTTTGTGTTCTGTTCTTATCAATGTTAAGAGGGGCGTGTGATATATACTGCCGTATGCAGCATCCTCTTTTAACTTAAAAGCGCTTTTTGGAACTGGTCACTTTTAAAAACTTGTATTGCTTAGAATACAAATTTTTAAAAGTGACCAGTTTTCAAAAAGCACTTTTAAGTTAAAAAAGGATGTTGCATATGGCTGATAGACTTTTAATATTGTCAATTTGACAACAGTCAGCTAATGGAATTTGTCAATATCTTCAATATTTGTTCAACATTTATGAGTATATATAGTGAGCACGTAGAGGTTGGAATAAAATCTATAAAATATACAGGGTGGATATTTTTCAAAAAACCTTGGATACGTCAATTTTTGATTTTATTGGCCGTTTTTATGATGATAATACCATATATACATGGTGACCCGAAAACAAGTTATGACAGCTAACTTTATTTTTTTAAATGAAAACATCAATTCTCTATTTCATTTTTGAATTCTACATTAAATTCTGATCACATTTCATGTATCATGGCCTATACCTATCTTCAACTGTATCGGAAATATTGACAGTTGGAAATTGACTTTTTTGCAACTTTGACAGGCTGTAGAATCTAAACGGTTAATTTTAGGGGAAAACCGATTTTACAATCCTATCTCAGATTTTTATAAACTATCATCTGATACTAACTTTGAATTTAATCCATAATTAATAATTCCAATTAAATTTAATCTCCAGTAAAATTGAGAGTTGGTATCAAATCATAGTTTATAAAAATCTGAGATCTGTATATTTTATAGATTTTATTCCAACCTTTACGTGCTCGCTGTATAATAGTTTTAACCATTAGTGAAGTTCATGCTTTCATGTGTATGTCAAGCTCATACTTAACAATCTACAGTTCAAAAACTTTTTTGACCATGCGGTGTTGCCGCTTCTACTCTAAACCAGTAGCAACATCGCTATTTTGAATGGAACATCCTGTATATGATTACATATTTGGATTCTACGGAAAATTTTGAGCAGATTTCATGTGATTTACCCTATACCTAAGTTCAACTGTTTTGGAAATATTGACAGTTGAAAATTGATTTTTTGTAACTTTGACAGGCTTTAAAACCTGAACGGGTAATTTTAGAGGAAAACCGATTTTACATTCCTATCTTGGATTTTCATAAGCTATCATTTGACACCTGCTTTGAATTTTACCGGAGATTAAATTTAATTGGAATTTTAAATCATTTATTAAATCCAAAGTTGGTGTCAAATGATAGTTTAAAAAAATCTAAAATAGGAATGTGAAATCGGTTTTCCTCTAAAATTAACCGTTTAGGTTATACAGCCTGTCAAAGTTGCAAAAAGTCAATTTTCAACTTTCAATATTTCCAAAACAGTTAAACTTAGGTATAAAAACTGCTCAGAATTTAACGTAGAATCCAAATCAATATGCAATCACCTACAGGGTGCTCAATTTGAAGTAGCGATGTTGCCACTGGTTTCGAGTAGAAGCGGCAATACCGTATAAACAAAAATATTTTTAAAATATAAATTATGGTCGTTTATCCTGGTTGCCAAATTTTCAAAATGATCCGCTTTTTAGTTCTCCATAAACGTCTAATACGCCATCCACCCTGTATAAACATCCTCCATAATGTGTCAAAATTTTACTTTTCTGATATCAGGTAATCGGGTATCGTTATATCATCTAGGCTCACCCTCAACATAACCTCACTTTTTGAGAGATTTCCATTTGTCAATCAGTGCGTACTGAGTTTATCAGCAACTTTTTCTAAAACCATGTAAAATATAAGGACGCGCAGATCGCGTTCTCGCCACTCTTATTGTCGGAATGCCTTGACGTTATTGGACATAACAGCTATGACGTAATTTCCGGGCGGTAAATTATAGCGTCTAAAATAAGTACAAAGGACCCCGCAATATTCAAGTGAAAATTGGTTACCCGTGATATTTTGATGAAATTATTAGTATATTATTCAACAAGCGGATAATGATGGCCATTACTCACGGAGGATGAAGTTTGCACTACGAGCCGCAGGCGAGTAGTGTAATCATCCGAGTGAGTAATAGCCATTACCCACGAGTAGAATACTATACTTTTTCTATGATTACTAGATAAAAGGCACGAGTTATGCGGTTTTTATCTCATTTTCATAACAAAATTAATTGTCAATTCTAACAGCTGGAGGACAAAGTGAGGTTAGGTTAGCACAAGTCTTGTCCAAGTCAGCTGTCAAAATGACCGATTGGAAGGTTGAAGTATGTTATCAACTTGTCGAATTTTCTGATTGGCTCCTAAATAGTGGAATAATGACACCAGGATATTTTCAATGGTTGAAAACAATTAAGTAGGTAATGAAAAAAAAAACTCACTGTATGAGTAATCATCCACATTGATCAATAGAAAATGGACGTATATTAGCAATATTTTTCACACAACCTTGTATATGACAGGTGAGGCGGTGTTTGGTGTCAAATCATCCTCCGTCCATCAAAATCTGCCATAGCTACTCTGTTTTTGGATGTTTTGGATAGATTTTAATATTTGACAGCTAACGCTTCCTCATCTGTAATATATACAGGGTTGTGCCCATGGTAAAAAATGTCGCTTACAACATGCCTAAAAACATATTTAAATTTCATACAAATATCACGAGATTGATAGATAAAATATTTCAATAAATTGTCCACTACCTTATTGCAATGATTTCCACTGTATACGAATGACAACAGCAACATCTGATTATTAGGTACGCCCGCAGAGTTCCATCACTACAATTTCCTCATTAATCATATTCATAACCACTAAAATTATGAACAAACAACAGAATGATGTAAAGGCACTTTTTAAATGATATTGCAAACAATATGAGGTGTTTATCAAATGTCAAAAATAGATGCTTTTCTGGCGTTATCTGCATTCTCATCTCCTATTTTCGAAACAGGGGAACAGCGTTCTCACGAGAAGGATTGCTCTGTCTTTATCAAATGTCAGTATTATGTAAATAAAAATATGACAGAACCGTCGTTCTCATGAGAACATTGCTCCCTGTTTTAAGAATAAGAGCAGAGATCAATTTGTCAATGGAAGGATCACAGACCTGATTTGAACAATCAGACACACGAGAGCTTCTTGAGAAGATAGTTTAAACACTAATTGAGTTTATCAACTGACCCAAATTGCTCAATATACTTAAAATCAAATCCGATAAAATTGATGTCGAGCCCTTATAAGACCCTGCAAGTCAAGTTATGAATTAAAAAAGCCTGTGAATTAACTGCAATGTGTCCAAAAGACTTATTTGAGATCCAAAATTTAAAAAAAGTCTTGCAACTTTTCCAATTTCAAGTATTTTGTAGCCCTCTGATGAAACAACTGTTTCGTTAGAAACTGAATATGTATGTAGCTATTGACATTAAGTTTTCAGTCATCGCATACTTCTTTAGCTACAAACCGGTTCGAAATTCTGAATTCTCGTCAATTATTTGAAAATTTGTATCCTGTCTCTTTCCAGTTCTTCTAATTTCTCCGCAGTAAAATTATTCTTTTTTTTTTTTTTTAGGTAAACAACATTCAATTACTCGGACTGAACCACCTCGAAGTAGTAGCCATATTAAAACAACTGCCCTCATTTGTAAGTTTAGTTTGCGCCCGGTATCCCGTTCCTATTAGAATAATCGACACTTCGCAGCATCCCGATGCATTTCAAGCCAGAGTAAGCATAATTTCAAAACCCTAAACACCAACCTAAGTTTACTTTTCCAGAAAATCCTTGCAGATAGTCTACAAACTCTCATACACTCCGAACCGCGTTTGGTCAAAGCCAAATCGGAAACCTCAATAGCTTCAAGTGTAGGCAGCGAAGTTTTAACAGTAAGCAAATCGAGATCATTAGAATTAATCGCCGGATTACCGATGTGGTGCGACGAACCGACCATTGTAGAATTAATCAAAGGAGATCATGGACTAGGATTTTCTATTTTAGATTATCAAGTACGTATCAATCGATTTATCAATAATTGATTTCAATAGTTTGGATTTTCTAGGACCCATTAAATCCTCAAGAAACTGTGATAGTTATCCGTTCCTTAGTGCCAGGCGGCGTGGCTCAGGCCGATGGTCGATTAATACCGGGCGATCGATTATTAGCTGTAAACGATGTTAATTTAGGACGAGCCTCACTAGACACTGCCGTCCAGGTGCTCAAAGGGGCACCAAAGGGTACAGTACGAATTGCCGTTGCTAAACCTTTGAATGGAAGCGGCGATGCTGTTTCACATACCAGCCAGGTAGGAGATTCTTCTGTAATTAGGTTAAATTATTCACTATTTCATTTGAATATTTGATTAGTTATTGAATTCAGAAAGTGAAGCTTTCGGGCGCCACTAATTTTTAGTAATTGGTCTTAGAAATACAACACATTACAACCATCTGAAGGTTTTATGTCCAATTTCATATGCTGTTATTCTATTTTAGCCAAAAAAAAAAATCTCATCCATCGTGATATGCGTCGAATGTTATAAAATAAAATGCGCGTTTTCTATTTAAGTTTTTGTGTTTTGAGTGCCTGCACAGACATCAACTCTGTTGACGGAAAATTATTTTTCTAGTTTGTTCGGAAAATCTTGCGCCAGTGGTCCGACGAAATTGGCTATCTTATCCTGGTAAGTTCGATGTAATTCTGATGTGCATGGACAAAATTAACTTATCATTTTGTGTTTGATTAGATTTGGAAGAAAATTTACAAAGCTACCAACTAATCTAGCTATTGTTTTTTCTTCCTTAATCTTAATCTTAATGTAGATACAGGAAAAGGATCTCTTAACATGAGTACTTTTTTGTTCCAGAACTAGCCAGAAAATACTTACAGGGAAATGCTTGCTGTTGATTTTTGTTTCAATTTAAACCCACTTGTGTAGCATCTTTAACATATCAGAAACTTTGTCAATTTAATATTGTTAAAATAAAGTGTATAGATAGATAGATGTTGATTAATTAAATAACTGTTTATCATGTTTAAGCTGTGTTCATAATAGCGGGTGATGTTTTATTTCTTTGTGAATTGATTTTGAATATTTACATATGGTTTTCAATAAATCATTTGCCTTTATTTGAGAAATAAAACTAATCATTGCTTAGGTCAGATTTGAATCATTGCTTAGGTCAGACTGAATCACTTCTTGATGTCGCCAGTGGCGGCTCGTCAGAGGAGGCAGGGGAGGCTAAACCTCCACCAAAAAATTGAAAATTCAATCTCAATTTTTTATTCCTGATTTCTAATTAAAATAATAATTCACAAATTACACAACAGAATTCCAATTTTCGATATTTCAATGTAATTTAGAAAGATCTGACAACATTATTTCAATCAATCTCGCGCCTCCACGACAAAAATCTGTGAATCTGGGATACTCAGTAATACCGGCCCGAAGGGCCGGAGTTATATGCGAGCTCGAAGGGCCGGAGTTATATGCGAGCCCGAAGGGCCGGAGTTATATGCGAGCCCGAAGGGCCGGAGTTATATGCGAGCCCGAAGGGCCGGAGTTATATGCGAGCCCGAAGGGCCGGAGTTATATGCGAGCCCGAAGGGCCGGAGTTATATGCGAGCCCGAAGGGCCGGAGTTATATGCGAGCCCGAAGGGCCGGAGTAATACGAGCCCGAAGGGCCGGAGTTATACGCGAGCCCGAAGGGCTAGAGTTATTTTAATCACGGGACTCAGTCTATAATGCTATAAGTCAGCGGATAATTTAGAACCACTTAAAAACCGGGAGTATTTAAAATGCGATTTTTAGCGTCCGATCAAAGAGCCGGGAATATTCAAAAACTTTAGTTTTATCAAATTGATTTTGGAATGTTGGTTTTCGTAAGATTTTTACTTTTTTCAGAAAACAGTAGTTTTTGCAAACATATACTACTTTATCATTGTCTTTGTCTTACTCACTATAATCAATAAGTAAACCTTATAATGTCATTTTCATTGATTTATTAATTTCATTATTAATTAATTATTGAATTGAATTTTAAACAAAAAACTCTTTTGAAATGTTATTTTTGTTTTCCAAGATGAGATGTGGCAACGTTGCTTTTAGATGGCCATTTTGAAGTGACACCTTGTGATTTTTTGCCAGCTTTTCCCGAATTTTTGATTTTTCCGGAGCTTTTTGATGGAAAAAAGCGATTTAACTTTTCTTCATTTTTTAGTACAAATTTCTAGTTTTAAATACCATAATTAGCAAAATCCCATTTAAAATGTTTTTGATGTGGCAACATCGCTTGTGGCTAAATTCAATCAAAAAAGCATTTTTGACAGTCGGCCATTTTCAATTGACGTGTTTACATTTTTATTCAGTTTTTCTTCGAATTTTCACTTTTCCGGGGCTTTTTCAGTCGGGAAAACTGATTTGAAGTACGAGGCTTTGAGTTTTCTTCATTTTCCACCAAAAATTTCCAGTGTTTTAACGGGGTAAGTGAGAAAAACTTTAGTTTTATCAAGTAGGTTTTGGAATGTCATTTTCGTTGGTTTTTTTGTTGGAATTTTTATTTAAGGTTTTTGGGGTCCGGGGATCGTTTTCTACCACTTTTCTTCTCGAAATTCGCAAAATAAAAAAAAAAATTGACGTTAACAGCTGTCAATTTTTTTTTGACACAAATCGATAGTTGGCGTCGTGAAAATGCCTTGCACCGGGGTTTGATTTTCGTAGTTTTTACAGTAGAGCGGGGAAAAAGTCGAACATGTGTCAAATTTGACAGGTGACATTTGTCGATATTGCCAAAGTGTCGTGCGACAAAAGTTTTATCCGAACGAACCCGTTCATTGTTAAGTGATTTTAATACTCCGGCCCTTCGGGCCGTAATCTTTGAAACAAAAAGACGTCATTTTGTATCGATTGTCAAAAAAACCCAAGGTTTGAAATTTCAATTTTTTGAAGTTTGTTGTATCATGAGCAGTGTTGCCATATGTTTTTTTTCGAATCTCGATTCTAGAAGGCTGAGGTTATCTCAATTATGAGCTCAAAGGGCCGAGGTTATACGAGTCCGAAGGGCCGGAATCATGCAAACCCGAAGGGCCGGAGTTATACGAGCCCGACAGGCCGAAGCTATTTTAATCATGAGCCCGAAGGTCCAAGGTTATACGAGCCCGAAGGGCCGGAGTTATACGAACCCGTTGATTGTTTACTGATTTTAATACTTCGGCCCTTCGGATCGTAATCTTTGAAACAAAAAGACGACATTTTATATCGACTTGCAAAAAAACCAAAGCCTACTTGATATTTCAATTTTTTGACGTTGTTGTATCATGAGCAGCGTTGCCATATGTTTTTATCAAATATCGATTTATAGGTTATTTTAAACCCAATCATTGACATTTCTGAAAAATATTTCCTTTAAAATTCCCAAATATCCTTTGGAATCTCCAAAAATCTGTTAAAATCTCAGAATTCCATAATTTAGTGGAATTTCGGTAGAATAATTATGTTATTCTGAATTCCATAGAATTCACATTAAATTTTAATTCCTCTCGAATTACTTGAAATTTCAGTGAAATTCCGATCGAATTATACGAAATCCTAAATGAATTACATGGAGGAATTTTAAACAATTAGGTACATTATGATATAACACCTAAATTCTCAACATGAAATTCCAGTTTTTACTGAATTTTAGTAGGTACTGCCGAGTAATTTCCAGTTAAAAACATGGAATTTCGGTATTCCGAAAAATTACCATGAAATTTCAATATATTTCGATGAATTTTTAAGAAATTACTTGAAACTTCATTAATATTCCCAGAAATTCCTGGCTATTAAAAGAGAATTTCAGTGAAATTCCGAAAAATTCTTATGAAAATAAATAAAATTTTGAAAATTCCTCGAAGTTTCATTGGACTTTCGAGAAATTTTCGGTTATGTTATGAACGTGGATATTTTCATAAAATTTTAGTGAATTCCGAGAAATTTTTAAGAAATTACATGAAATGTCAATGAAATTCCATAGAATTTTATGAAAATTTTGTGGAATTCCAAGATATTTCAGTGGTAAAATTTTGAGGAATTTTAGTAAAGTTAAAAAAAAAAATATGGAATTTTGAAATTGAAATCGAAATCTTAGTGGAATTCCGAAGAATTTCATGAAATCCTATACTGTAATTCCGAAAAAAAATTTGTCCAAGAATTCCATAAAATCTTCTAATGAAATGTTACGGTATATATTTCTATGGAATTACTTAAAATTTTCGCGGAATTTCCATGGAATAACTTAAAATTTTAATAGAATTCCAAAGAACTTTGATGAAATCTTCGAGAGGTTTTTCCCCCAATTAGTTTTCCAGGAAAACTTTGAAAGTGTGAGACTGTATTTTCCAAAAGGCAAAACCACCTTGGAATTCTTTGTTAAAAACTTGGGGAATTTATAGGGAATTTGGAAGATTGTGTTCGATGTTGGACAAATTCCAAGGAATTCTCGTCGAATTACACCTACATAGAATTCCTTGAAATCTTATTCTGGAATTCCAGTGAAATTATATCGAAACCGAAAAATTCCCTCGGAATTAAACAGAATTTTCGTGGAATTTCCATGGAACCACGAAAAATTTCGGCGGAATTCCGAAAACTTGAATTAAATTTTAGTGAAATTCTGAGAAATTCTGTCGAAATTTCCATGAAATCTTCTACTGTAATTCCGAGGAATTTTTGTACAAGATTTTCATTGAATTTTATGGTGGGATTCGGAAAAGTATTATGAAATCTTATGATAAAATTTCTAGGACTTTCTGTTTTTCTATTCAAATTTGTCATTTGAATGAAATTTCGAGGATTTCCATAAAATCTCCTAGTGAAATTCTGAGGAATTTCTATGGAATTAACAAAAATTTTCGCAGAATTCCCATGGAATATTTATCGTTAAGGCTCCCCTAAATTGGTTGGTAATTTGTATACAAGTTGGTCAAAATCCCAGAAAAACTCCTAAGATCTACTCAAAATCACTGAAAATCTTTAAAATCTTTTAGCCTCCTCACTTGAAATAGTCACGAGCCGCCACTGGATGTCGCACAAGCCAAGATTATGTACAGGGTGGTTCAATTTGGTTTTTGAAAACTGTAAGAGACGAAGGCTTCACAGTATCACTTAAAATCAATATTTTATGAGATTTACAAACTGTAACCACAAAATACTTACAATCACGAAACTACACTGGAGGACTAATTATGTTTCCTGATTGGTCTATGCTTGTGCGATTGCTTTACCATTACGCACGCTATGTGTAAAACTGAACTGTTTTTATCTTTATACATCCTAAATCTTTACAAATTGTAGATTGATTATAGAAACTGAGAACCGGTTCGTTCAAACCTGTGAGCAAACTTGATTTTTCATATTAACCGAGACCTAAAGAAGGTTTGAAGAAACCGGCCCCTTGCAAATAATATTAAGAAAATTATTGCAAACTCCTATCAAGCCGCCCATAATTAAATGTTATTTTTGTTGATTAGGCACAAGCTTATAACAAAATATAAATCACCTCAAACCAAAAACATGTTTTATTTATCCATTTCCATATTCAAACTATAAAAATTATTATTTTACAAACAAAATTCTTATTTTATTTTTTTTATAGGAAACAGAAGACGATCAAACCTGTCTGGAAGATTTCCAAGAGTGCATCGAAGAATTTCAAGAAGACTTGATCTCGGTGCCGATTTTCATCGAAGACGAGCACTCGTTCAATCATTCGCCGCCGACATCGCAAGTGGAAGATTTCGGTCAAAAAAACGTCAATCGCCACAACGCGGACATTATAGAAAATAATTATCTAAATATCAAAGAATTAGCTAGGGATAGTATAGGTGACAGTGATATCGATATAAGTTTCAAAAGTACAAATGATAATTGTTTGGACCATAGTGCGAAAAATGGCGAGATTCGATTAGTTTTAAGAAGCCAATATGATGTTCAAAAAACTGATAGCGAAAAACCGTCTTTATCGGACAAAGACGGTTACGAAACTTGCATGGACGAGTCTTTAACAGAAGAACCCAAAGCAAAAGTCTACAATCTTGTCGAAGAAGTATTCGAATTAGACGATGTAACACCAACCAATTCTAAAATAGATATAAGTAATAATAAATGCTTCCCGTCAAAATCCTGTGCCAAAAATAAAGTGCCAAGTTCATCGGAACCGTGTTTACCTACAGACTACTATCCAATGTCTAAACACATTTATCTCGATTCTAAACTGGAAGAATTAAAGTCCTATCGTGTAAACGAAGATAATGAAGCCGACGAGTTTTTCTTAGTGCAATATCCGCATCCAACCAAAGAAGTTGTGAGCAAAAGTGTTAGCGAACCCATCGTTTTGGACACCGACGGACTTTCCGAAAGCAAACTCACCTACAAACTTCGCGAGTACTACAACGACTACGAAAATTGTCTCGACGCTTACAAAAACGTTACGGAATACGAAAAAATCGGCGCGGAAATGAACGATTCGCAAATTTTCGACGAGATCGTTTTACCTTTCAAATGTCGGTCGACGCCTAATATAACTGACAGATCTTTTGTGACTTTAACTTACGATCCCGGGCCCGATTTTGTTAGGAGGAAATCGGCTTTTGTTGCTGGATATGATGGGTGAGTGCAATGTTTATAATTTTTAGGAGTATGATACACATATTTAAACTTTTTAGTATTATGTATAGTAGTCTTCCATCACAATTACAATATATCATTAGACAATTTTCTCTAAATCCGCTCCTATTTGATTTTAACATGTAATGTTCTTTAATTGGTTTTACTGACCGCATATTTCGCGCTTGGATATTTTAAATGATCTTATTATTTCGTCCTAAATAGAAACAACTAATGGGATTAATTTGGTATTGCCGATTTGTAAGGATTCAGTTGCTCTTTACCTAGTTAATATTATACATGTATATTTTAAATGATACCACTATATTGCTATATTCGAAACGGTAAGAGCTACAAGGTCGGTTGAATTAGAAAAAAGTTCCTTTTTTTGATGTGTTACTCAATGTAACAAAATTCCTTTTAGTTTATGAAATACAGGGTGATTTCTAAGAAATGTCTAAAAATATTTGATCAGTTATTTCGAAAACTATTAAGTTTCGAGACAAAATTTGAAAGTTTTATAATTTTTTTCGCTCTCTAAAACACGGCATCTGATCGACACAGCATACTATCATCAACATTTTTTCAAATATGTATTTTTGATGTCATTTTTAGAAAGCGCCCATTATTCCATTTCCAACGATATACCTTTCAAGTATGATTGGCCGAGACGTTTCTGCTCTAAAAAGTGATCATCAATGGTTTTTACCAAAATTTTACCTCAATTCGGCCCTAGTTATGTACTTGCATTTCATAAACTGGAAGGAATTTGGCAACACTGTAAACGCGTCTTGGATGGGCATCAAAAAAGGCAATTTTTTTTTCTCATTTAACCAACCTTGTAGCTCTTACCATTTCGGATGTACCTATAGTGGTATGATATCACTTAAAATATACATCCTGTATACCTATACATACATATATAATTTTATACTAAAATGGTTGCTCATTTTTCATTGTATTTAAATAAAGTGAACGTTATCTAAGTAATTACTTTATAGTAAGATACTTCAAATTTGCCTGTACTTATGAGAAAAGTTCCAAAAATTTTCCATATTGACTCATAGTTGTCACCCCTTCATCAACAATTTTCACTATTATGGACTCTAGACTGTCTTTACCTTTTATAAAAATTTCTGGTAGATACAGAAACAGTAAGATTCAATATTTAGACAATTATCGACACTTCAGAAAAGTTATCAAACGAATCAAGAGCCGATAATAATGAAAATTTGAATTTCTATCGGCACTTGATTCTGTAAGATACTTCAAATTTGTCTGTCCTCATGTGAAAAGCTCCAAAAAGTTTCCAGATTGGCTCACAGTTGTCACCCTTTCAGCCACAATTCTCACTCCTATCAACTCTTGACTGCCTTAACCTTTTAACCAGTTTCCTGGTTATCCAGAGACAATAAGATTCAATATTTGGATTATTATCGTCACTTGAGAAAAATTGTCCAACGAATCAAGAGCCGATAATAATGAAAATTTAAATTTCCATTGGCACTTGATTCTGTAAGATACTTCAAACTTGTCTGTCCTCAGGTGGAAAGTTCCAAAAAGTTCCCAGATTAGTTCACAGTTATTACCCTTTCAGCCATGATTCCCACTCCTATCAACTCTTGACTGTCTTTATCGTTTAACCAGTTTCCTGGCAATCCAGAGACAATAAGATTCAATATTTGAACTATCGGCACTTGAAAAAAGTTATCCAACGAATCAAAAGTTGAGAATAATGAAAATTTTAATTTCTATCAACACTTGATTCTGTAAGATACTTCAAACTTGTCTGTCCTCATGTGGAAGCTTTTAAAAAGTTTCCAAATTGGCTCACAGTTGTCACCCCTTCACCCACAATTTCCACTTTTGTTGGCTCTTGACTGCATTTACCTTTTAGTTTTGAAATTTTTTGGCAAATCCAGAGACAATAAGATTCAATATTTCGACTATTCTCCACACTTGAGAAGAGTTATCCAACGAATCACGAGCCGATAATAATGAAAATTTGAATTTCTGTCGGCACTTGATTCTGTAAGATACTTCAAACTTGTCTGTTCTCATATGGAAAGTTCCAAAAAGTTTCCAGATTGGTTCACAGCTGTCACCCTTTCAGCCACAATTCTCACTCCTATCAACTCTTGACTGCCTTTACCTTTTAACCAGTTTCCTGGTTATCCAATGATTCAATATTTGGATTATTACCGGCATTTGAGAAAAGTTATCCAATGAATCAAGAGCCGATAGTAATGAAAATTTGAATTTCTGTCGGCACTCAATTCTGTAAGATACTTCAAATTTGTCTGTCCCCATGTGAAAAATTCCAAAAAGTTTCCAGATTGGCTCACAGTTGTCACCCTTTCAGCCACAATTCTCACTCCTAACAACTCTTGACTGCCTTTACCTTTTAACAAGTTTCCTAGCAATCTAGAGACAATAAGATTCAATCTTTTGACTATAATCGGCACTTGCGAAAAGTTATTCAACGAATCAAGAGCCGATAATAATAAAAATTTGAATTTCTATCGACACTTGATTCTGTAAGATCCTTCAAATTTGTTTATCCTCATGTGGAAAGTTCCAAGGTTCACAGTTGTCACCCTTTCAGTCACAATTCTCACTCCTATCAACTCTTAACTGCCTTTACCTTTTAACAAGTTTCGTGGTAATCCAGAGACAATAAGATTCAATATTTGAACTATTATCGGCACTTGAGAAAAGTTTTCCAACGAATCAGGAGCCGATAATAATGAAAATTTGAATTTCTATCGGCACTTGATTCTGTAAGATCCTTCAAACTTGTTTGTCCTCATGTGGAAAGTTCCAAAAAGTTTCCAGATTGGTTCATAGTTGTCACCTTTTCAGCCAACATTCTCACTTCTATCAACTCTTGACTGTCTTTATCGCTTAACAAGTTTCCTAGCAATCCAAAGACAATAAGATTTAATATTTGGACTATTGTCGGTACTTGAGAAAAGTTATCCAACGAATCAAGAGCCGATAATAATGAAACTTTGAAATTCTATCGGCACTTGATTCTGTAAGATACTTCACTGATTTGGAGCGTTTGTTTGTGAAGTGCAGTTTGTACCAAACTGTTTAGTTCATGTTCAACCTGCACTTGCTTTCGAGGAGGAGTAGATAAGGTAGTCTAGTCAAAAACGCCACATTTGAAGGTTTTCTGTTCCCTCCATTATTCCTTTGTATAAAAAAGGCTGGCAGCCTGCAATGCCACAGTCCTCTCCACTATCCTCATCCCCCAGATAAAACTAAAAACAAATTCGATTTCGACATCGTTACATATTCGTCATCCATTTTGAAAAATTGTCCAAATCTGCCACAAATCAAATCCAGAAATCCACAAAATAGTAAATAATCGGAATATAAAAATATAATAAATCTTAACGTCACAAATCAAAAAATTAAAAATCCTATGAAAAACTCCGTTGGTTTGTGTCTGAATATTTATTGTTCTAAAGCAGTTGTCAGTTGAACTGGTGACGCCAAAAACCTGAAATATCTTGCGCTCAGTTCAAGTTAGTGTGACACAAATATACAAACCTACAACTGGCGTATGAGTCGGGGAAAAGACAATGGACTACACAAAAAGGAGATGCGCATCTGTAGTGGCGTCACAAGGGCATCGGCACTTGACAATAATAGGCAATCCTCTTTGCTTATAGTCCTTGGTTTGTGTCAATCGGTCGTCGGCTTCCATTGACCATTGACTGTATTTTCCGTCTTTTAACGTTATATCTTTCTTCTCTCTCGTGTAACAAAATTTGCCTGAGCCTGACGTTACGTCACGCTTCTTTCAAATCACTCTCCATTTTCGTCCAATTTTCGGACCGCTGCCCTGTTTTACTTCAAAATAAATCATACCCATGGAGTTTTATCGAAAGAAACAATTTTCAAACTAATTAGGTTTTTGAAGTGAAACTTCTTAGATCTGATATTTGGACGAGAATGGAGAGTGATTTGAAAGACGCGTCACGTTTTGGCAAATTTCGTTAAACGGGAGAGAAGAAAGATGTAACGTAGAGAGACAGAGAAAGACAGTCAATGACAATGACAGCCGACTAAGCGCCGATACCCTTGTGACGTAACAACAGATGCGCCTCTCCCTTTTATGTCGTCCTTCCTTCGACTTTACCACGACCCACGGCTCATCCGCTAAGTATTAAAGTTTGAAAATTGTATTCCATTCCAACGATCTTAATTCTCTACTTTGAAGAGTAGGGGCGGCGAAAATGGTCTGGGCACACAGACGGTTAAAACCCTAGCGGAAACCCTGCACAATTCTCACTCCTATCAACTCTTGACTGCCTTTACCTTTTAACCAGTTTCCTGGTTATCCAGAGACAATAAGATTCAATATTTGGATTATTATCGGCACTTGAGAAAAGTTATCCAACGAATCAAGTGCCGATAATAATGAAAATTTGAATTTCTGTCGGCACTTGATTCTGTAAAATACTTCAAACTTGTCTGTCCTCATGTGAAAAGTTCCAAAAAGTTTCCAGATTGGCTCACAGTTGTCACTCTTTCAGCCACAATTCTCACTTCTATTAACTCTTGACTGCCTTCACCTTTTAACCAGTTTCCTGGTTATCCAGAAACAATAAGATACAATATTTGGATTATTATCGGCACTTGAAAAAAATTATCCAACGAATCAAGTGCCGATAGTAATGAAAATTTGAATTTCTGTCGGCACTTGATTCTGTAGAATACTTCAAACTTGTCTGTCCTCATGTGGAAAGTTCCAGAAACTTTCCAGATTGGCTCACAGTTGTCACCCTTTCAGCCACAATTCTCACTTTTATCAATTCTTGACTGCCTTAACCTTTTAACCAGTTTCCTGGTTATCTAGAGATAATAAGATTCAATATTTGGATTTTTATCGGCACTTGAGAAAAGTAATCCAGCGAATCAAGTGCCGATAATAATGAAAATTTGAATTTCTGTCGGCACTTGATTCTGTAAAATACTTCAAACTTGTCTGTCCTCATGTGGAAAGTTCCAAAAAGTTTCCAGATTGGCTCACAGTTGTCACCCTTTCAGCCACAATTCTCATTCCTATCAACTCTTGACTGCCTTTACCTTTTAACCAGTTTCCTAGTTATCCAAAGATTCAATATTTGGATTATTACCGGCATTTGAGAAATGTTATCCAATGAATCAAGAGCCGATAATAATAAAAATTTGAATTTCTGTCGGCACTTGATTCTGTAAGATACCTACTTCAAACTTCTCTGTCCTTATGTGAAAAGTTCCAAAAAGTTTCCAGATTGGCTCACAGTTGTCACCCTTTCAGCCACAATTCTCATTCCTATCAACTCTTGACTGCCTTTACCTTTTAACCAGTTTCCTGGTTATCCAAAGATTCAATATTTGGATTATTACCGGCATTTGAGAAATGTTATCCAATGAATCAAGAGCCGATAATAATGAAAATTTGAATTTCTGTCGGCACTTGATTCTGTAAGATACCTACTTCAAATTTGTCTGTCCTCATGTGAAAAGTACCAAAAAGTTTCCAGATTGACTCACAGTTGTCACCCTTTCAGCCACAATTCTCATTCCTATCAACTCTTGACTGCCTTTACCTTTTAACCAGTTTCCTGGTTATCCAAAGATTCAATATTTGGATTATTACCGGCATTTGAGAAATGTTATCCAATGAATCAAGAGCCGATAATAATGAAAATTTGAATTTCTGTCGGTACTTGATTCTGTAAGATACCTACTTCAAACTTCTCTGTCCTTATGTGAAAAGTTCCAAAAAGTTTCCAGATTGGCTCACAGTTGTCACCCTTTCAGCCACAATTCTCATTCCTATCAACTCTTGACTGCCTTTACCTTTTAACCAGTTTCCTAGTTATCCAAAGATTCAATATTTGGATTATTACCGGCATTTGAGAAATGTTATCCAATGAATCAAGAGCCGATAATAATAAAAATTTGAATTTCTGTCGGCACTTGATTCTGTAAGATACCTACTTCAAACTTCTCTGTCCTTATGTGAAAAGTTCCAAAAAGTTTCCAGATTGGCTCACAGTTGTCACCCTTTCAGCCACAATTCTCATTCCTATCAACTCTTGACTGCCTTTACCTTTTAACCAGTTTCCTGGTTATCCAAAGATTCAATATTTGGATTATTACCGGCATTTGAGAAATGTTATCCAATGAATCAAGAGCCGATAATAATGAAAATTTGAATTTCTGTCGGCACTTGATTCTGTAAGATACCTACTTCAAATTTGTCTGTCCTCATGTGAAAAGTACCAAAAAGTTTCCAGATTGACTCACAGTTGTCACCCTTTCAGCCACAATTCTCATTCCTATCAACTCTTGACTGCCTTTACCTTTTAACCAGTTTCCTGGTTATCCAAAGATTCAATATTTGGATTATTACCGGCATTTGAGAAATGTTATCCAATGAATCAAGAGCCGATAATAATGAAAATTTGAATTTCTGTCGGCACTTGATTCTGTAAGATACCTACTTCAAACTTCTCTGTCCTTATGTGAAAAGTTCTAAAAAGTTTCCAGATTGGCTCACAGTTGTCACCCTTTCAGCCACAATTCTCATTCCTATCAACTCTTGACTGCCTTTACCTTTTAACCAGTTTCCTGGTTATCCAAAGATTCAATATTTGGATTATTACCGGCATTTGAGAAATGTTATCCAATGAATCAAGAGCCGATAATAATGAAAATTTGAATTTCTGTCGGTACTTGATTCTGTAAGATACCTACTTCAAACTTCTCTGTCCTTATGTGAAAAGTTCCAAAAAGTTTCCAGATTGGCTCACAGTTGTCACCCTTTCAGCCACAATTCTCATTCCTATCAACTCTTGACTGCCTTTACCTTTTAACCAGTTTCCTGGTTATCCAAAGATTCAATATTTGGATTATTACCGGCATTTGAGAAATATTATCCAATGAATCAAGAGCCGATAATAATGAAAATTTGAATTTCTGTCGGTACTTGATTCTGTAAGATACCTACTTCAAACTTCTCTGTCCTTATGTGAAAAGTTCCAAAAAGTTTCCAGATTGGCTCACAGTTGTCACCCTTTCAGCCACAATCTTCACTTCCATCAACTCTTCACTGCCTGTGCCTTTTAATAAGTTTCGTGGTAATCCAGAGACAATAAGATTCAATATTTGGATTATTATCGGCATTTGAGAAAAGTTATCCAACGAATCAAGAGCCGATAATAATGAAAATTTGAATTTCTGTCGACACTTGATTCTGTAAGATACCTACCACAAACTTGTCTGTCCTCATGTGGAAAGTTCCAAAAAGTTTCCAGATTTGTTCACAGCTGTCACCCTTTCAGCCACAATTCTCACTCCTATCAACTCTTGACTGCCTTTACCTTTTAACAAGTATCGTGAAAATCTAGAGACAATGAGATTCAATATTTGGACTATTATCGGCTCTTGAGAAAAGTTATCCAACGAATCAAGAGCCGATAATAATAAAAATTTAAATTTCTGTCAGCACTTGATTCTGTAAGATACTTCAAACTTGTCTGTCCTCATGTGGAAAGTTTCAAAAAGTTTCCAGATTGGCTCACAGTTGTCACCTTTTCAGCCACCATTCTCACTCCTATAAACTCTTGACTGTCTTTATAGTTTAACCAGTTTCCTGGCAATCCAGAGACAATGGGTGGTATGAATAAAAACGAAGTATCTGCTACTACTACAAGTATTAGTAGATTCTCCGTAGTATTTACTTCAAAACAAAATAGATATTACATTGCGGAACTACTGGGAATAAGTAAATCCTTTTTTTTTAAGTAAATACTACGTAGAATTTACTAATAATTGTAGTAGTAGGTACTTCGTTTTTATTCATACCACCCAATAAGATTCAATATTTGGACTATTATCGGCTCTTGAGAAAAATTATCCAACGAATCAGGAGCCGATAATAATGAAAATTTGAATTTCTATTGGCACTTGATTTTGTAAGATACTTCAAATTTGTCTGTCCTCATGTGAAAAGTTCCAAAAAGTTTCCAGATTGGCTCACAGTTGTCACCCTTTCAGACACAATTCTCACTCCTATCAACTCTTGACTGCCTTCACCTTTTAACCAGTTTCCTGGTTATCCAAAGATTCAATATTTGGATTATTATCGGCACTTGAGAAAAGTTATTCACCGAATCAAGAGCCGATAATAATGACAATAATTTGAACATCTATGGGCACTTGATTTTGTAAGATACTTCAAACTTGTGTGTGTTCATATATGGAAAGTTCCAAAAAGTTCCAAAGTTCAAAATTTCCAAAGTCCAAATTGGCCTATAGTTGTCACCCCTTCACCCACAATTTGCTTTTTTATCGACTCTTGACTGCCTTTACCTTTTAAGAAATTTTCTGGAAAATTCAGAGACAATAGGTTTGTTCGGACTTAGTTCAGAAACAGTTCTGAATTGAACTGCGCTTGCGCATTTGTTCATATCGAACATAAATAAACAAATGCGCATGCGCAGTTCATAATTCAGAACTAAATTGAAAGAAAAATCATTTTATTAATTTCAATTTCAATGACTCTAAAGATGTTTCGATACTTTTTAAAATGTCGTAGTTGTAGATTGTTCCTACTCTGAAACCAGAAATTAGTTGGCTGTTTGATGCACTATAAGTGCCGATTTCTCAATAGGTAGCAAATCTCTTCTGTTAAGCATAACTCCAGAGTAAACATTGCAACAGCACACGCTTACCCTGGAGTTAAAACCAACATTCTATTAAGAAACCGGCCTTAAGTTTAAGAAATTTGAAATAAAACTTATGGGCAATTTGGACCTGTCTGGAACACTCTATTATTTTTTTACTGCATCAGCTCTACAACTTTCTGGAATTCATTTACAATAATTTCATATAGGGTACTTTTTTTCATCAACAGCCTGAAAAGTTATACAAACAAATACAAACGGGGAGTTTCTAAATGTATTTGCTCTAAACTTTTTCTCAAATGTTTGAGGACAAATACGTGCATATAAAGCCCCCCCACGTGAAGGTCCGGTAACCTTCGTTTCAAGCAAATACTTACCGCGGTAATCTTGTTGTAGGCTTTAATGAGATTAAAGATTTTATTGCAAACCGTCTGAGGTCTCCATTGACAGTGTTCCATTTGAAGTTACGCGCAAATGGAAACATTCCGAACGAAAAATGTATCGCGTTTTCGGTGAAAACGAGTGCCGATTTGTATGTAAATGAGAACTGAAAAGTGTCAAGTTTGAAGGAGCATCAATAAGTAAAATGTTCCTGCTAATAATAGTATTAATTATTTTTTTGCTTTTTGTATCAAGGGACGCTTGGTAACGCAATATCGGACACAAAATAAGTCAATAGAAAATAATTGGGTCAGAAAAATATATCGATATTCAATAAAGCTTTTTATTAATTGAATATTTAGTCAATTTGATGGTTCTTTTACAGCTATTATTGCAAAAACTGTAATTTTGTTAATGTTATTTAAGAACTCGGTGACAATTTAAGATTTTGACTCAAAAGTTCTGAAATTGCAAATCAGTTTAAACTCTCATTAGCTCTAACCCAAAAAATGTTTCCAAATCTCACAAAAGAGTACAAAACCTAGAGCTGTCAATGTATAGTGTGATCAAAGAGCAAAAACTCAATTTTCTCTTTGCTGAAATTATTTTTTTTTTATAGTGACATGACAGTAATTCGACACATTGAGCCTGAGTACGGAAGCATGAAGATTCACGAGGACAGCGAGCTCCATAAACATTGGGGCTCCACTCATGTGGTCAAAATATATAGAGAACCACATAAGGGCCTTGGGATCAGTATCGTTGGAGGAAAAGTAAGAAGAATATAATTGTAAAGAAGGGTAAAAAGTGAAATTACAACAAGTTGCTTTTAAATTTTCATGTTTTCAATATTATAACTTCATTCATTATACTGTTTAATACAATATCGAAAATATCATAAATAATCCAATTACTTGGGCTATTGAACATTTCATACAACAAATTAATACATTTAACCCGGTCAATTTGCTTTGCATCATTTAATAATGATTGGGATATATATATATATATAGCCAATAATCATTTTAATTGCCTATATGTGTAGGTAGGTGAATTTCAAATTGAAATTTCTTTGTGTTGATTTGATGAACCGAGCTTATTGAATTGGAAACTTTACGAAACAATATAAAAATACCTACCTAAATGGAGGAATTTAATTTAAAAAAAAAAATTGTTATTTTTCAGGTAGATGTTCCACCTTCGGAAAAACAAACCGACTCGTTTCTTGGAATATTCGTGAAAAACGTAGAACCCCAAAGTCCGGCAGGAAAAACGGGACAATTCAAAGTACAACTTATTCACCGACGATTAAACTATAAATTATTAATTTATTTTCGTTTTAAGACAGGCGATAGGATATTAGAAGTCAGCGGGATCGATTTGAGGGATGCCACGCACGACAAGGCCGTTGAATCTATTAGAAAGGCCCCTAATCCTGTCGTTTTTCTCATTCAATCCCTTATACCTTGGGTAAGTCATAGTTTATGTGTATCCTATGACGGTATATATATTTTTTTGAATACAGTCAGTGGCGGCTCGTGACTATTTCAAGTGAGGAGGCTAAAAGATTTTCAGTGATTTTGAGTAGATCTTACGAGTTTTTCTGGGATTTTGACCAACTTGTATACAAATTTTCATCAATTAACGGCTCGAAGTTTAGTTAACTCCATAAAATGTGTACATATAATTGAATCTTTATTGCTTTTGTAGGATTTTGAGGATTTTTAAAAGCTTCACGTGATTTTAAAAGATTTTAGATTTATGAGTTATTAGGTGGGAATTCAGAAACGGTTTTTACCAACTAATTCAGGAGAGCCATAACGATAAATATTCTATGGGAATTCTGCGAAAATTTTTGTTAATTCCATAGAAATTCCTCAGAATTTCACTAAAAAATTTTATGGAAATCCTCGAAATTTCATCCAAATGACAAATTTGAATAGAAAAACAGAAAGTCCTAGAAATTTTATCATAAGATTTCATAATACTTTTCCGAATTCCACCATAAAATTCCATGGAATTCTTTTAGAAAAATTCCTCGGAATTACAGTAGAAGATTTCATGAAATTTCGACAGAAATTACTCAGAATTTGACTAAAATTTAATTCAAGTTTTCCGAAATTTTTCGTGGTTCCATGGAAATTCCACGAAAATTCTGTTTAATTCCGAGGGAATTTTTCGGTTTCGATATAATTTCACTGGAATTCCACAATAAGATTTCAAGGAATTCCATGTAGGTGTAATTCGACGAGAATTGCTTGGAATTTGTCCAACATCGAACACAATCTTCCAAATTCCCCATAAATTTTTCCAAATTCCCTATAAATTCCCCAAGTTTCTAACAAAGAATTCCAAGGTGGTTTTGCCTCTTGGAAAATACAGTATCACACTTGCAAAGTTTTCCTGGAAAACTAATTGGGACAAAAGTTGAAACTTTTGGCATATAAAGAGGAAGCCCTTTTTCTCAAAATTTCAAATTTTTCCAGTGGAAAATAACAACATAAAGAATTTTGGAAATCAACCTACAATAACTGAATTAATTGAAAATACAGTCTCACACAATTCAAAGTTTTCCTCGAAAACTAGTAAAGGCAAAAATTTGAAACTTTTTGCATGTGAGGAGAAAGGTTAAACGCTGCGATTTTCCCAAAATTTAAAATTTTTCCAATGAAAAATAACAACATGGAAAATCTTGGAAATTAACCTGCAATAACTGAATTATTTGGAAATACAGTCTCACACATTTCAACGTTTTCTTGGAAAACTAGTGAACGGAAAAATTTGAAACTTTTTTCATGTGAAGAGGAAAGTTAGAGACTCATTTTCCCATAATTTCAAACTTTTCTATTGGGAAATAGCAACATAAAAAATCTTGGAAATCAATCTACAATAACTGAATTATTTGGAAACACAGTCTCACATAATTCAATGTTTTCCTAGAAAACTAGCAAAGGCAAAAATTTGAAACTTTTTGCATGTAAAAAGGTTAAATTTCAAATTTTTTCCAGTGAAAAATAGGATTTCGGAAAGATTTCGAGGGATTATTCACTGTCTGATTTAGAGCGATTTTGAGGGATTTCGGTTGATTTCGAAGGATTTCGGGTGATTTTGAAAGATTTCGGAGAATTTCAGGTGATTTCGCAAATATTTTAATTTAATTTCAAACTGTTACTTATCTACTAAGTATATTCAAAAGTGTATCAGTTTAAACTGAAAAACGGCCGTGTTGACCGATTTATGAATTTTGAGCCAATTGCGAGGGATTTTTGGGTTTACGGAAAGATTTCTGAAAGATTCCGATAGGATTTCGGAGTGATTTCGTGGATTTCGGGCGAATTTGTGACACGATTTCGGGGAATGATTAACCTCTCGAAGATTTCATCAAAGTTCTTTGGAATTCCATTAAAATTTTAAGTTATTCCATGGGAATTCCGCGAAAATTTTAAGTAATTCCATAGAAATACCTTAACATTTCATTAGAAGATTTTATGGAATTCTTGGACAAAATTTTTTCGGAATTACAATATAGGATTTCATGAAATTCCTCGGAATTCCACTAAGATTTTAATTTCAAAATTCCATATTTTTTTTTTTTAACTTTACTAAAATTCCTCAAAATTTTACCACTGAAATATCTTGGAATTCCACAAAATTTTCATAAAATTCTATGGAATTTCATTGACATTTCATGTAATTTCTTAAAAATTCCTCGGAATTCACTAAAATTTTATGAGAATATCCACGTTCATAGCCGGAAATTTCTCGAAAGTCCAATGAAACTTCAAGGAATTTTTCAAAATTTGATTTATTTTCATAAGGATTTTTCGGAATTTCATGGAAATTCTCTTTTAATAGCCAGAAATTTCTGGGAATATTAATGAAGTTTCAAGTAATTTCTTAAAAATTCACCGAAATATATTGAAATTTCATGTCATTACATGGGAATTTTTCGGAATATCACCGAAGTTCTATGTTTTTAGCTGGAAATTCCTCGGCATTACTGAAATTCAGTAAAAACTGAAATTTCATGTTGGGAATTTCGGTGTAATTTCATGTAATTGTTTAAAATTCCTCCATGTAATTCATTTAGGATTTCGTGTAATTCGATCAAATTTTCACTAAAATTTCAAGTAATTCGAGAGGAATTAAAATTTAATGTGAATTCTATGGAAACTCCGCAAAAATTTCACATCTAATTCCATTTTCAGAATAACATAATTATTCTACCGAAATTCCTCGAAATTCCACTAAATTATGGAATTCTGAGACTTTAACAGATTTTTGGGGATTCCAAAGGATATTTGGGAATTTTAAAGGAAATATTAGGCAATTCAATCCATCTGTCAAAACGAAAAATTCAATATGGCGTGGCGGTCAGCAAGTTTGTTTCGAACACGTATTTTCATGCATATTTCAATTATTTTGCTTCGAGTTGTGCTTGCAGCTCTGATTTTGATTATTCAATGCAATATATGTTTACTAGGTACGTAAGTCGTAAACTATCAAGTCGGGCAGAAACTAGATATTTTTTTGTGTTTTTTGGCCCATGGGTGGCCGCCACGCCATCTTGAATGTCACGTGGTTTGAATTGCCTAATTTTACAGAAATGTCAATGAATGGGTTTAAAATAACCTATAAATCGAGATTTGATGAAAACATATGGCAACGCTGCTCATAATACAACAAAAAAGTAGGCCTTGGTTTTTTTGACAGTCGATATAAAATGGCGTCTTTTTATTTCAAAGATTACGATCCGAAGGGCCGAAGTATTAAAATCAGTTGACAATAAACGGGTTTGTATACTTCGGCTCTTCGGGCTCGTATAACCTCGGACCTTCGGGCTCATGATTAAAATAACTCCTGAAGAGCAGGATGTACACCGTCGAAACGAAATAAAACAAAAGTTGTGTATTTAGGTGTAAATTTAATAAAATTGGCTGAGCGATTTCGGTCTTATTAGACCATCTTCAGAGCCGCCCTATAACAAGCAAAGTATACATGTTTAATTGTCTTTATAATAAAATTGGTTCTTAAGTACTTACTCGTCATAGAAATCGTGACTCAACATAGGACATTAAAAAACAAAACACCAAATAATAATACATGACAACGGTGACTTAAATAATATTAAAACACACTTTAAAATTCTTGTATATAAAACAAACAGACACAAAAGATGAACAAATGGTAATTTTTAAAAAAGAATGGTACGCTCTCAATAAAAGTACGTTGTCTTTTGGAATGCAACAAATATTATTTATCGATGTAAAAAACCCCAGAACCATCATCGCATGTATACGTAAAAAAAATTATTATTATTTTCATATATGATCTATAATTGACTGGGTTTGTCTAAGAAATTTTTAAATTGAAATTGACTAGGTTTGTGTAGAAGTGGATGGGTAGGTATTATCAGCAAAGAATTTGAAGGTAGGACTTCTGAGGTTGGTTTCATTGGTCCTTATGTTAAGGCAATGGGTGGGGTTGTTTTTAACTTCTCTGGCAATTTCAAGGTCCTCTCTATAATCTAGGGATTTAGGGTTGTTTGACCTCTGTGGAAAAATTATTTTGCTGTCTTCATAAGGGGAGAAATTATGTTTCGTGAAGTTAAGGTGGTGGCCAAACGCATAGTGTCGTGGTCTATTGATATGCTCTTTTCTAAACTCTCCACTTTTCTTAACAATCTACTTTCTTCCCATCTGAAAGACAAACTAACGTATTTTATCAAAAATTCAACAGATCTGATACAAAGATTAAAAGACACTAATATTCCAGAAAACTCCATTTTAACTTCGTTTGACGTTAGTAATCTATTCACGTCAATTCCAAGACTTGAAACAATACCTATTGTTGAACAAGCTCTACAAATAAATAAAATAGACCCATTTGATATCGAAGAAATTATTTTGCTTCTTAAGTTTTACCTGTCACAAGACTTTTTCATTTTTAATGACAAGTTCTATAGCCAAACATTAAGCCTTGCCATGGGTAACCCACTTTCACCACTCTTAGCTGACTTGTTTCTGGACAAATTAGAGAAAAATGCCGTCCCTTTACTGCTTAATGAAAACAAAATATTGAATTGGTTTAGGTATGTTGACGATTGTTTTGCAATAGTTACTTGTGATCCTTTGCAAGTCTTGAACTCTCTCAACAACTTGCATTCATCCATTTTATTCACTTCAGAATCGGAAACCAACAACAGCATCAACTTTCTAGATATCACCATTACAAAAAAGGACAACTGTCCATCCTACAAAATATTTCGTAAAAATGCACAAATAGATCACATCATCCCTTACCATTCCAACCATCCCCTTACCCACAAAATGGCTTCTTTCAACTGCTATATTAATCGTTTATTGAATATTCCTATGTCCCCTGAAGACATAGAAAATGAAACTAACATCATTAAACAAATTGCTTTTAACAATGGGTATGACCCGAATATAGTAGATAAACAAATTGCCAAAATTAAAACAAAAAGAGAAGCAATCGAAGCTTACAAGAGTCAACCCCAAAATCCCTCAACTAATAAATAT